GAGACCATGAGGCAGCATCTGCTGACCTTAGTCCTCAATCAGTGCATATTGAGGATACACCACTAACTCTAGCTGAAGGCCTGATAACATCTTGTAGCAGGCCAGATGTGGCCCATGGGTCGTAGTTTGGAAAAAAAAAACAGTAGATGTTTCTTTTCAAGCAAACTTCACCGAAGCAATTATGTGAATGAGAGGTCACTCACAGCGAGTTTGATCATTTCTCTGACAACTTAGTATTGCCAATATCACTCCACTCATCTCTGGTAAGCATTGTTGTGCAACGTCACTTATTCTACAAAACTAGTGCTTTTTCCTACTTTGGTATACCCAAGTCACTTCTTCAGAAGCAGACACAATGGAGTAAGATATGCTTTAACACATTCTCAAATATTTCAGTAGTAGAATAAAGAAATGAAAACACCAAGTAGCTGGAGGAGGAATGATATTACTATTTTAAAGTGGATTTCTCAAACAAAGGAAACGGTAAAGGGGAGTTATTTAATTAAACAGATCTATGTTGGATAGCAGTTATATCTTTCTTATAAATTGTACTTGCTGTACTATCACTGCTCGCCTATAGAAAGGAATCAAATTGTCAAATAATAAAATATGAAAAAATGATAATATATGATATAATGATATCATATATGAACCTTCATAAACATCCTTGCTGAGATCACAGTTTATATGGCTGTTGCAAATTACTCAAATCTGATGCTCTAAGTACTAAGCACAAATTTTCTCTTTGCATAAGAAATAGTGTTTCTGTTAAAACTGAAATTGAGGCAGAAATTTGTAAATCTCATCGCAATTGAAACTCTCAAAACAACTGTTTTTGTAGATTAGATTTTTTGAAACCTGTCTAATTGGAAATGGTATTCTCCAGTTGCTGACTGCCCTATAGCAGCTTTATATATATGTGATTCTGCCCTTCCGGGCAGGGGGACGCATACGCACGCCGATGGCACTCTGCCTCTGCTGTGATTACTCACAGCGGAAGCCGATCAGCAGGTGCCGGCCAATGGATCAGCAAGGAGACACACTGAACAGACTAGATAGAGCTCTACATATGTAAACAATGCAGAGTTCTGTCCTGTCAGCAGCAATGTGCTGGATTTTATGTGCTGAATAAAATCCAGCCCATCCCTTAGCAAAAGCACCACACTGTACACACAAAAATACTGGTTAGGCACACATTTAACCCTTTGATTGCCCTAGATGTTTAACCCCTTCCCAGCCTGTGTCATTAGTACAGGGACTGTGTATATATTTAGCACTGATCACTGTGTCACTGATACCCACAAAGTGTCAAAAGTTTCAGTTAGTGTCAGATTGTCCAGCACAATATTGCAGTCCTGCTATAAGTCACTGATCACTGCCATTACTAGTATAAAAAAAATTCTAGTATATATACCATAGTTTGTAAACACTATAACTTTTCCACAAGCCAATCAATATTCACTTATTGGGTTTTTTTTCCCCAAAAGTATATCGTAGAATACATATTGGCCTAAATTTATGAAGCCATTTGTTGTTTTAAATTTTTTCTATTGGATATGTTTTATAGCAGAATGTAAAAAATTATGTTTTGTTTTTCAAAATTGTTGGTTTTTGTTTATAGTGCAAAAAATAAACAACCCAGTGGTAATAAAATACCACAAAAAGAAAATTCTGTTTGTGGGAAAAAATTACTAAAACTATGCATGCAGTCAGAACACACATCCAGAAGCACAAAACATTACCTATTTATGAGTAGAGTGATTTTTGCAAAATATATTTCACTAAGAAAGTATCGATTTGGCTGCAAATTTGCTCTTTAAGTTGAGGAAATTTTTGGGTGTATTTAAGGTAGTTTATTTTATTGATTTTTATATTTTTAATTTCTATTTGTGTGTACTGACGCTTAATGGTTCATTTACTTTTTTGTATATTTTTTTCTTTTTATGCATGAACATAAAATAATCAAGCCAATGAGGGGCTTTTTGAGCTTTTGACCTTCAGTAACTCTCTGGAGCCATTTAAAGCAAAGTTAACTCTTTAAAAAACCACCAAAAACTACCTAAATCTTGCCTTCCCAAATGATATCAGTTTATTCTGCAAAAAGGGTTAGTAAATTATGAAATTCAATCCCTTTCGTAAGGCTTGCAACAGAAACCAGGTAATGTTGTGGAGTGGAGTGTGGATTAAAAAAAATACTACACAATATTTCAGTATGAATAATGATATTTGCATACATATAATTAACATTATGAAAACAGACTACTTATAGTGGTCTGAGAAGGATTGATGGAATTATTCATCAGCATCAGGAGAGATAGAGGTAGTACAGATTCACAGAATGAATGTAGCTAAAACATAGAGATCATTACACTGCAGGTGCTCAGCTACACCTTACCTTCCAGGCTGGAGAACAGTGATAAGTACAACAGTGACATCACCCAATCTCACTAAAAATCTCTTGAGATTCAGTCAGAGACAGCAGTGCCTTAGATCTCACACTGCAGATACCCAGCTATGAGTTTCAAAGCACAGGAGTACCTAAGCATGAGAAATGCATTGCTTTTTTCAGAAGGAATTCAAGAGAAGGTAGAGTTTTTTCATTTTTCATGGTACTGCTTAGACAAAAATAACATTTCTACATGTTCCCTATAAAATGGCAAATCTTCACTTTTGTAGTTCAGGTCTACTTAATAGGGAGGAAAAGTCTCCAGGACTGATGTGGTAATTTATTTATTTTGCTTCTCCTTACTCATCAATATGAGTATGAATATGAATAAATGGCTAAATGGTTAGCACTTCCGCCTGGCAGTACTAAGGTTGTTGGTTTGTATCCCAACCCCAGCACCACCTGCCTGGAGTTTGCATGTTCTCCCTGTGACTGCGTGGGTTTCTTCCGGGTACTCCGGTTTCCTCCCACATTCCAAAGACATGCTGGTAGGTTAATTGGCTCCTGTCTAAATTGGCCCTAGTTTGTGTATGTATGAATGTGAGTTAGGGACCTTTAGATTGTACGCCCCTTGAGGGTTAGGGACTGATGTGAATGTACAATATATATGTAAAGCGCTGCGTAAATTGACGGAGCTATATAAGTACCTGAAATAAATAAAAAATACAGGTATTGAGTCCATTAGTTTTACAGCATTTAGTTTTGTAATAACGTGGCTGTGCAAACAGACATATTTATGGACTGATAATAATTTAACTGTTCTCACCCAATTAGTTTTGTACCTGAACATGAATTTCCAGCTTGTATGGTATTTATATACAGGAGGGTGTAGCAAAAAGCAGCAATGTACTAGATATTTAATGTTTATTTCACAGGAGATCTCTGTAAGTCTAACTAGAATAGATTGAGGAATTTACAAACTATGATTTCTAAAATAAATTATACTGTAGTTATGGGGTATTTATGTAGCAACCACCTAGTTTAGCTCAGATGTAATAGCTAGAGGGGTCATATTGTGGTCAGGGCTGAGAGACTCTGCAGACAGTCCCTCTGGAATTTCCCCCTGCTCTGGGGCTTTTGGAGGAAGGCCTTGGAGGCAGATGGTGGATCTGACTGCACTCCTGAGGGGTCCTAGACAATCCCCAGAGGAGTCGGGTGCAGAAGGAGAGAGGAAGATGTGAGGATGAGAGCAGGAGGCTGCCAGGAAGGCCACGTGGGATGGGGCCAGCCTGCGAGCCTGGAGCTGGAAAGGCGGAAAGCTTGGAACTCACTGGCTCCCTGAGAGAGGACCATCTGTATGGCAGGGAAGAAGCAGCCCAGCTGATAGGTCTGGTAGCAGCAGCCAACCTGCAAGCGGTAAAGGAGAGGATCTGAGTGAGTACATCTGGACCCCCTGGGCAGATAGGGGAAGGAGCACTCTGATGGGAAACCAAGGATATATATGTATCTGATATTTTGTGAATTCACTGGCAAAGTTAATGTTATTCTCTGTTGCTTGACAATAAAAGAAGAGCATTATTCCTTCAAAATCAGGAGTCTGAGTAAGAATACAATAAAACATAATAAAATAAGCAAAAACCAGTAGTATGACTCCCGATCACTATTTGACCATATTTTCTTTCGGCATTTATTTGCTAAATAGGTTAAACAAATTAATTTAACAGAGAATTTTGAAATAATATACAATATTGAAATTTGTCTAGTGAAAAAAATGCTATCTATTTTAATCAATTTCCCAGATCTTGAGTCTTATGATGGCCATATACATGGTAAATTTCAGGCAATTTTAACCAAATTTCAAAAATTACCAACTGGATCAATCTAGACTCCAAGTATTGAAAATGTCGCTGGCAGGTTGCCATTATGCCTTTAGTCATGTTTGTGATGCATACAGATTCAAATGTTTGAAATTGGCTAAATAATTGTCTGGTTGCATGATCAGCACAAGAAATGTTTCAGTAGTATGTGTCCAACTAATGGCAAAAATAGCATAACACCTTTTGTTAAATAAATGCTAAACATGTTAAATATGCTGCCGAGTATTCAATAATAGTCTTTAAATAATTCCATTAAGTATGTTAAACAATTCATAAAATATATATCAAAATATCTAATAAATACACACAATTGTTGTGGAGAACATATCAGCAATAGGATCCCTTGAGAAAATTGTTCCAGTGACGAAGCATGGCGCATGGTGGAAGCGAGGCATGGGCATTGCATTGGACATTGAGAGAAATTTGGATGCTGCTTAGTGGCTCTGGCAATGGAGCGAGAATTCAATCTTTTCATGCAATCCTAAACTGCTGAGTGGGATATTTATGTAAGCTTTATACAGCATATCTGTGCTAATTAACAACATTACAGTGTAAGTGCAAAATCACATTATTTTAAAGCAAGCAAGTAAATAACAGTATCACCCTTTTGGGGCTCTTCTTTGTTACACTGTATCTCATATGAGAGCGGTGAAGTATCTCTGGAGACAATAATAAGACTGGAGTTTTGTAAACAGCCTAGAACTTGGGGAAGTGGTGCATGATCTCTTAAAGTGTTACTAAACCCACAACAGTAAAATCAGTCTGTATATGCAGTAAAGCATGCTTAGTATACTCACTGTGGTACCTAAGGACTTAATCCTCTGCACTGTGTAAAAATGCTGTTTGATCCTGACTTCTGTGATCCTCCCCTTCTTCCAGTGTCTATCTCTTATCTCCTGATAAGACATATCGTGTGAAGACATTGCACATGCTTAATTTGGTGTGTATTGCTAGAGAGTTCTTTTTCCTTGGGAGAGTGCATGTGATCAGCACAGGGTCAATCAACACTGCCCAGACAGAGGTCAGGGGTTCTGCATCCTCCTAGAGAAAACTCCTCCTACAAGCTTTAACCAGTGCTCAGCTGGACACTGATAGAAGCCACAAGACAGCTCTAACTGCTGATAAGAAAAGGTATTTAGCAGTTTATATTTACTAAAATAATTGCATAATGTCCTGTGTACTGTGGGAGACCAAATTGAGTGAACGCAGGGTCCTGGGTTTAGTAACACTTTAACCTCCCTGGCGGTATTCCCGAGCGTAGTTTGGGGTAAAGTTTCAGTACCACAAGCGGTAACCCCGAGCTACACTCGGGCTTACCATGCAGCGCTGCTCCACGATCCCTCGATCACTTACCTTGTCCTGCGCTCCCGCGATGTCCCTCCTGCAGTGTCCCCGGCAAAGTAATCCGGCGGATTCCGGCATCTGTCATCTGGGTTCTGTCCCCTGTGAGCGTCGGGACATACGGGGGACGGAACGGCGGGAAATTAAAAAATGACAAAAAGTGACATTCACTAAAATCACATAGTAAAACATTACTGTATCAAACCATTTCACATACATTTTGTCCCTAATGCTTTGTCCTGTGCCCTGCCTGCATTTTTACTGTTCTTTCTGCCTGGAAACTGAGAAACGTCCATGGCTTCCAAAAAGCATCCCTTTAGATCAAAAGCGGTTTTAGACCAGCTAGAGAACAGTGATAGTAAATCAGAACCACTTGCAGAATTGAGTGATAATGATTAGTGGGGAAATTCATCATCAGACACTGAAAACAATTTTGCGACTTTGCTCAGTGATGTGCAAACTTGGCGCTATATTTCAAATTTCAGTGTTTTTGGTTTGATTATATTATTGAATTAAATTTATTATTATTATATTATTATTATTATTTTTATGATTATTTATTAAATCATAAATTATGATTTTGTGTTTCAAGTTTTATTGTACCCGGGATATTTACTAGACTCTTGTTCGGACAGATTTCAGTGAGTTATTCCTAAAAATTACAGGCCTACAATAAAAAAAATACATATTTCCATGCAAAAAAATGGTACCGCTTTCAGCACCAAAAATCTGAAATAATCATACCGCCAGGGAGGTTAAGTGCACACTGACCTTAATAAAATGTGAGGGTCTATAAGAACTGCAACTCATGGGATATAGATGGAAAGTGCTAATCCTGTTGGTTTGTTTTCACATGTTGTGTCAAAGACATGAGGAGTGACATATAGCAGTGTGGAATCAGAAAATCATTCACATGATATTTATGCTATTTGGGACAGTATTCACAGTGTATTTTCTAGATTTTTTCTAGATTTGTATCACTTTATTGGGGTATATATAGGTGCATATTAAATATTCAGCAGTACATACTGCACACAGATTTTATATTTGTTACATCTAAACATTTTCATGGATTATTTATACACTAATGTATTTATATATATAATTGTAAATTGAGTAAATTGTAAAGTAAATATATGTCAGTAGAGCACTATATGTTCATTTTATATGCATACAGTAATTGCTGCAGTATACCGTATGAACAGATAAATTAATGGGTCAGGAATGACATAAAGTCCAAATTTGTTTTTGCAGAAGAATAGGATTAATTTCCAAAATGTCTTTTAGACACATAGCCACTGCAGTTGAGTAAGTGCAGTAAAAATATAATAATATTATTTGTTCAGCTAAAGAGCAGATTTAGCTTTAGCATCAATGTAATACATTTAGTAGCCAATGCATTTACAAAAAGCCAGAAAAATCCAATATAATTTCAATTCATTAACTCCTCTTCCAACTGGCCATTGTGTAAGCAGGTAGCATGGTATTTATGTCATCCACAGCTGATGCAACAGTGACTTGGTGTGGCAGGGTACTTCAGTAAGAGAATAGGCTCGCTCTCTGTGGATACTAGACCAGGTTATCTATACCCTACCTCATGCCATATGCTGTGAAATCTGCATTAGTATACGTGTTTAACTATAGTCAGAATTGTTTTCAACATTATAGTAATTAATATATGGTAGACTTTGAAGGGTTTCTTATGAGATAGAACATCTCTTCCCAATTATATAAATTACATACTGTATGATGAGACTTTTATTTTGTACACAAAGGAGTTTAATATGACTATAGTACTCAATAAATATACATTTTAGGGATAAGTTAATTTATTTTGTCCTAAAACTGCTTATTTCACTTTTGCCTCAAAAAATCATACAACTTTGCCTTCTAACAGATTTATACAATCACCATGTCAGAGCCAACATGGTTATCATAAGATTTTGTTGATAAAAAAAAACTGTCACTGACAATTGCTTTTCTGTCTTTTCTTAGAAAAAAAATGAATGAAAAAAAAAAAAAGAAAGCATATTGCTCCATTAAAAAAACACCACAATTACACTTTATCCCAGCCTTTCTCAACCAGGGTGCCCAGGCACCCTGGTGTGCCTTGAGGTTTCTCCAGGGGTGGCAAAATGTCTAGAAATTGCCCAAAATTTGTATACAAGCCAGCGATGGAACAAGCCTGCCTTTTAGTTACACAAAGCCACAGGTTTTCATTGTGCACCATTACGACCTTTTAGTGTCGGCGTCCTGACAATTAATGACATCATAAGTTGATAAGGAGGATGTCAGCATCCTAGTTTGATCCTCCCCTGCACTTCTCCATCAGTGCTAGGGTCACATATTTTTTCACATTTTAGAATGTGGTGCACAGAAATGCTGGTGAAAATTGATAAATGTCAGTAAAATTCGCCATTTTGGTGAAATCCATTGAGGTCAATGAAAAGTGGAAGGATAAAGCAGTGTTTCTCAACCTTTTTTTATCAAGGCACAAAATTGGACAGTTTGGAGACATCCCATTTTTTAAAGAGTGCCTCAGGACTGTCCATAATTTTAAAAGGTGCCTTGACTAAAAAAAGGTTGAGAAACATTGCTTTATCCTTCCACTTTTTATTGACCTCAATGGATTTCACCAAAATGGCGAATTTTACTGACATTTATCAATTTTCACTAGCATTTCTGTGAAGCAAAAACTTTCAAATTCCAGCTTGGTCTGTCCATGACCACCATTATACGAAGTAATAAGATATTAACAGTATGAAACAAACCTATTTTAGCAAAGTTAACCTACTGCAATTACACACAGAAGTGTTGTTTAAAGGTGAATTTTAGGCAAACATCTAAATACACATATCAAATACAAGTGTAAGGGAGCTGTTTTACCTGCCAAAAGATCTGTGTTATTGTTTATCCAGTTCTGAGATTTATACCGGCAGCACTAGGTTCGTTGGTTCAAATCCCAACCATGGCACCACCTGCCTGGAGTTTGCATGTTCTCCCTGTGCCTGCGTGGGTTTCCTCTGGGTACTCCGGTTTCCTCCCACACTTCAAAGACATGCTGGGAGGTGAGTTGGCTCCTGTCTAAATTGGCCTTTGTATGTGTATGTGTGAATGTGAGTTAGGGATCTTATACGCCCTTTGAGGGTTAGGGACTGATGTGAATGTACAGAATATATATAAAGTGCTGTGTAAACTGATGGCGCTATACAAGTACCTGAAATAATAAAATAAATACAGCTCTACCGCACAGCCCATCCCTGTTTGGCTGGCCAGGAAATCTGATTTTTGCTGTAATCAGTAACACTTACAGGTCGTATCTTTTCTCTCTTTGCCTTCCCCTATTATGCTCTGTGCACTACAGTACAACTGATAGACTCCTTGTGCTGCTTCTCCCCCCATCATTCTGATCTTTGCTGTACAGGGACTGTAAAAGGCTGATATCAAGTCTAATTCAACTACTCACACTTCCTGCATTAAATACATTTATGTATGTAGTAATTAATACAGAGCTGCATTATGTGTGTCTTTTCCATCTGCCTGGGGTTCACATTTATATCATCACTCTACATAGATTCTTAATAGCAAAGTTACATATCTTTATAACCAGCAATCAACTAAAACTATTTCATTTTTATTGCTGTAAAATTTGACCCACTGGTATGTTTAGACCAGGAACATTGCCAGGAACAGTGCAAAGAAGAATCTGACAATATTTATTAATATTTGATTTGTCAGCAAAAATGTGATATTCTGTACATACTATTTCCCAAAGGCGCCACTACCTTATTGGTTATTAATACGGGGCGTTTAGAAATAACAACAGCGAAAATAACTTTTATTACGGTCAGCTTATGTATTAATCTGTTTATTTCACAATGCGCAGGCCATCAGTTAATGCAAATTGTATAATAATGGTCATCTACATAAAAAATTTAACTTGATAAACAACACTGAACACATTAAAAATATAAATGAATATATATTTTAAGCAGAAGGACATAAGCAAGAACTGAAAGTCCTATCTTTATAAATTATGTACATAGTTATATTGGAATGTTAGAATCTTTCATTATACATATTGTTTTTAATTTTCTTCAATACGCAATGTTAGTCTCGTTCTGTATCAGAATTGCTATTATTGCATGCATTAAAATGAAATTAAAGGAAAAATGTTTATTCTAGTTAGAGTGCAAATTAAATTGTATTTTTCCAGATACTTATTTTTATTTATAGAGGTTATATGAGAGATCTATGTATTTCAAAGCTTTGCCAGTTAAATTGGTTGTGTGCCACATTTTTAATTGGTACTTTTTCATTTTAATTTCTAATGTCATTTGATCTACTAACATGTTAGACAAGCCTTATGGAGGATCAGTTTTTGAAAACGATATATTTATTGTTTTTATATTAGTGGGACACTTTGCTCTTCCTTGCAAAATCTGAAACTCTGTGATAAGGTGGCTAGAGGCAAACCTACAAAATGCTATTAAAAACATTCCAAAGCATTTTTCATAACTGTCAAATGTGGAGCAAAAACATTATTCTGACACAGCCCTTAAGATGATGATAAATATTTATATTTTACCGGACAATAATGCAATTTAGACCTAAATGCTAGTAATGCATACTAACTGATTCATACACTTGAGCAAAAAAAGGGGTGGGAAGAGACAAGCCCAGCTTGTTGACATACAACCCAATCACA